ACCCTGGAAGCACACAGGGGTCCTGAGGTCCGGTTGGCGATGGAAAGAAGAAAGCAGATGGCGGCGATTAGGGGGCTGAGAAGTTTCCCTCTGGGATTTGGAAACCTGGGTGGGGGAAGAGCAGCAGCAGATGGGATCCTCCTGCCAAGGGATTCGGGGTGAGGAGCCCACAATCCAGCCATTTGCTTCTCACCGGTGGGAGGGGAAGCACGCCTTGTACTCTGAGCAGACTTGAAGCAGCGACCTCCTTGCCCAGCTTTGTATTTGGAACAAACCTGGAGGAAAAAGACTCGGTGGCCGCCTGCCTGGGTGGAAGGGGGTTGTGTGAGGGGGAGGGTTGTCGGTTTTCTCTCTAGTTCTCACTCCTCCACCCCCTCTCCTGCTGCTGATGGGGTAACATGGGTAACAGAGTGCCCAAGTTTACAAATAGGAGTTATTCTAACAGTAATAACACCCACATGTCTATACCTTGGGGGCTCGGCCAAGATCCATGCGATGCTTCCTAAACGGGTGGGCGGGGGTGGGGGGGGGGCTCTCCCCGCAGAGCCCTAATGGGGAAAAGCCACAGCTCAGGCGGAGGACACAGGCAAGGGGGAGGCAAACGGGAAGGTGTCTTCCTAGGGAATCCAAGTTACTAGTACCTTTGGACTTCTCCAGGGCTGCTCCTTTGAAAACACATCAACAAACCGGATCCACAGACGGTTCTCAGCAGCCTCGGGAAAACTGAGGCAAGGGTAGGCGTGAAGGGTAAATTGGTGTGCGGGCGAGGGGGGGGGGTAGACAGAGAAGGTGAGGGCAAGTTCTAGGCAAGCAGATTATGTCACATTTTCTCCTATTACCAGACTTCCAGGAGGAAAAAACCTCGATTTGTGCATAAAATGCATAGCCTGAAGTGGATAAGACTGTGAAAGCAGCTTTTGAGAAGGTTAACCTTTACTGGTTGGAGTTAAGGGGGGTTGGGGAGGCAAATATTTCTGTTTGTGCCCTCCCGCTCTTCCCAGCACCGGCTGTCAATCGCGAGGCTTGTTATCCTCACAAGGCTTCAGTTTGTTTGCTTGATCTCAGCAAGGTTTTCTTCCACAAGTAGAACTATAATTGCTATAATTCTACTGTATCATTTGGATCATTGCAGTATTGTTGTTTTCTCTCCCTCTTTCTCTCCTCCTAACACTGCAATAACGCGCTCCAGTGTTAAATTAGCAGGTTGCAGAAGACCATAAATGAATGAAAGTTTGTTAAAAAAAAAAAAAAGGAAGAAGAAGAAATTAAATAAATAAAGCAGCAAAATGACTTGGCAAAGGGGATAACACATCACAGAGAATCCTTGCGTGTAATCAGGACTTATTGTCTTCCCTTCCAATGGCTTCCAAATTGGTCGACAGACTCCAATGAAGTTTATTTCTATTGTTTAAATATATGTTTTGAAGAGGTTGAGCATAATTTAAGGGGACCTGAGCCATCCGGTGCTACTGGAAGCCCATTACAGCTTTATTTATCTATGTGTATATTGCACAATAAATTAAAACATCTCAAATGGAAAGTGTGTGAGGTTAACTCTCTTCCAAACATCCCCCCCGATAAAGACATCTAACTGCCACCCCCTTATCATGTATTTCTTGAAAATATAATTTTGAAACTACAGTGTAGAATTAGCTCTCTTGCCACAGAAAGAATGGGGTCTCCTCCATTCACCTCCTCCAATTGTGGAGACAAGCCCCATTTTTCACCATAAACAACAAATTTGAACACGTCTGACTCTCACTTCCAGTCATTATTGTCGTTTTTATTTTAGTGACTGAGTTTAAAAACAGACGATCCAGAAAACGTTGTTTTTCAAGCAGCTCCGGCAAAGCAAACCAGCACTTCAGACCTCAGAGGTTAAGAGCCAGGAGTTGTTACTAGAAACATACAAAAATTTCTTTAAGTTACCACTAAAATGAAATTACTTTTTATTCATGGATACAGAAAGTGTAAAAGTGAGGTGAAAAAGAGAGAGAAATATCATATTGCTAGCAGAGTGAATATTCAATTGAGCTAAATTATGTGCCCTTTATACATAGTACTATAGTCAAATTTTTTTTTTTTTTTTTCTTTTTTCGAGACAGGGTTTCTCTGCGTAGCTTTGCGCCTTTCCTGGAGCTCACTTGGTAGCCCAGGCTGGCCTCGAACTCACAGAGATCCGCCTGGCTCTGCCTCCCGAGTGCTGGGATTAAAGGCGTGCGCCACCACCGCCCGGCCCTATAGTCAAATTTTTAAAAGGCTGTGTGCTCGGCACATGGATTAAATTCTCCCTAGATATTAGAAGCATCATTTCATTTTCTAAAACTGACATATAGGATAGCAGCACATTTTAAGCCCACATTAAAATTAGATTCTGGGGAGACACTGTTAGGCTTTGCCACCCCATCCAGCGAATTAGAAAAAGTTTCCTGTCATTTTTTTTTTCCCTAATTAATCTGTGGGAAATGGAGTCAGTTGTAGATTCTGAAGTTGGGTGTTGAATTGTGATAAATCTCAGGGTCGCTAAGTGTACAGAAAAGTAGTTCAGGCCCTCCTCCCCAAGTTGAATACATGTGCCTCCTTCACTTGAAAAGACTGATTAGAAAATATTAAAAATAAAATAACAGAACAAAGAAGACTAGAGTTTTCACACAGGTCTTAAAAAACCGTCTTTATATTCCATTAATAGAATTAGATTTAATTCCAAGGATCATTAAGTCAGAATCAGAAACTCTGTGTTAACCTCCCCCTTTACAGTGGGTGATTAAAATTAGAATACACCCCCATCAGAAAGTCCGACTTCTTTTAAAAGAAGAACAGCTGCAGAGGGGGAGGAGGGCGATGGAGGCGAAGAAGTCTTCCACCGAGAGTCTGAAACCCCTTAGGGCGTTCAGAAATGTTTTGTGCATTTGTGACCCTTTTTATTTAACACGGTCTTTATTGGATTCATGTTCATCCCACTCCCTGCGTGTGCGGAGCCCACTCTGAAGCCACGGAGCCACCGGCAGCCGGGTCTTGCGGATTTCCGATGCGGGACCGGCGGAGGGGGAAAAGTGTTTCTGTTTCCACCAACACCCCCGCCCCGCGCCCAGCCATCAGCTTCAGGGACGCCTGTGAGGGTCTTTGGCTGGAACCTTGAGGAAAACGTAGGCGTCCTTATATCCCTGGGCTGCCCTGAGACCCCAGGGCTAACTAAGAAGGGCCAGGGAGGGGAACAGAAACGGCGAACAAGCATAACATTAGCTTAAAGCTAGATGAGACCATATGAAAACACCAAAAGGTGAGGATGCAAACAGAACCCAAAAAAGACAGAAGCCTAGTCCAGATACCTTGGGATCTAGAGGGCATAAAAGAAAATCAAGTGTCAAGATAACTCGCAGTCCCTTCTCTGCTCTTAGAGTGTAGGAAAAACGTGTTGAGAAGCCACGAAAATACCTAAGAGACAGAGATATGGAGGGACAGGGACAAATCCTTTACGCTCCGTTTTACTATTACTACTAGTAGTGTGGCTTTAGTATTAGTAGTGTTAATGTGGATGTCCCCAAGCCTTTACCTCCCCAAGTTGTGTTGAGGACTCCTGCCAAGCCAGTCCCATCTATCTGCCACCCACCCACTAGCATCCAAGAGTTATGCAGATGTTGATGGCTAGAAAAAAAAAATCCCAGTTAGGTATTCTTGTATTTTTAAATACTGACTGTAAGTGATTCAAGTATAATCCTTTGTAAAACGTTTTCTCTTTGACACATTGAAGGGGCTGAGAGAAGAAAACCTGGCATGGATTCCCCTTCCCCGACCTCTCACCCACCTCCCTCACCCCAGCCCCGCCAATGCCAAGGCCCTAGCTGTCCCTTGGAACCTGCACCTAGGCAGTGAAGGTGTCCGTGCTGGCTCCTCTCAGGGATCCACCCAACTTCAGTCAGGGTTGGGTGGAGATTCCCTGGGTAACCAATGCTGGGAGCTGTTTGGGAAGAAAGTGGTTCCCCCTAAGGCTCTCCTCCCTCACTTTTGATAATGGGGGCCAGTCACAAAATTAAAAATTTTAGGCATTTCGACTCGGTTCAAGGTGAATATGGGTCCCTTCTGTTCTAGGGAACTGAGAACCACAGTTCTTCAGTGCAGGGGTTTCAAACCCCAGGCACTCAAGGATGAATAGCCGGATGGTGACAGCCTAACACAGACGAATTTAGGGAAGCAGGGAAGACGGAGAAGCGTCAGGAGAGAAAGAGGGCTCTCTCAGTCTCTTGCCCAGTCTCCCTCTGGGACTCGCACTCACTCGCCAGTCCCTTTCGCCTCACTGGATACTCCAGGGAAGGGCTGTGCGCCTTTGGCAGAGCTCTGTGTTTAAGGGTCTGTTTTCTCATTCCAGAGTTAAAAACGGAGACAGAGAATGTTGGGAACCGATATTAACAAGAGAGCAACAGATAGGCTCTGCATAAAGACAAATAGCTCTAGGCTTTGAGCCACAAGAGAAAACCAAAGGCTCAGACAGCAGATGTTTCCGCCTGGTACGTCGGAGGCCCATTTGTCCTAGAGAGTATGGTGACTGAACAGCACTGAGGTCAAGACGCTGTCCTAGGAGGACAAAGCCGGTTTTGAAAAGCTCCAGGTCGATCTCAACCAGAGCCTTACGGCTTCACCTCCAGGGAGCTAGGTCCTCTGGATGGTGGAAGGGGAGTCCACAGACCACGTGGCACCCACAAGCCTAGCACCCAAAATGAGCTAGAGCTAGGAGCAACCCTTAAGAGTTAAAGGAGGAACTACAAGAAAACGATGGAAAACTTTGAAAGTTTTTAGTTTAGAGAAAGAGAGAGAGAAAGAAAAAGAAATTTGGCTCCGGTGCGTGCCAGCTGCTAGTCCCCTGCCCCCACCCTCGCTGGCCCCTCCAGAATCCAGTTCGCGCTTTGCGCCGAGCCGGCAGGCCGACGCAGCCCAGCCTCTGCCGAGAGCCAATCAGAGAGCTCCTCCCAGCACGTGGAGCAGAGAGACTCCAGAGCTCCGCGGCCCGCGGCTCACTACTCTTCTAACCGCTTGTCCTGAGCGCGCGGAGGACGAGCTCCGGCCGAGACCAGGGTGAGAGCCCCGTAGCCCGCCACCGAGGGAGACAGAGAGGGACAAAGATCTCGGTAATATTTGCTCTAATCAGCCTTCCAAACTACCCCCAGCACACTCACTCATCCCACCCCCCCCAGGAGAGGCAGCCGGAGGTCCGCTCTCTGAGCCCGGGGGGAAAAGCTCCAGCCATGAGCAACCAGTACCAGGAAGAAGGCTGCTCCGAGAGGCCCGAGTGCAAGAGTAAATCTCCAACTTTGCTCTCCTCCTACTGCATCGACAGCATCCTGGGCCGGAGAAGCCCGTGCAAAATGAGGCTTCTAGGAGCCGCGCAGAGCTTGCCTGCCCCGCTGGCCAGCCGCGCGGACCAGGAAAAAGCCATGCAAGGTAAGGTTGTGCCGGTCAGGCACCTATGGGAGGACGTGGGACGTTGGTTTGAATGTTTGCTATTTGGGGACCAGGGGCCTGGGGGTTGTCAAGTTGGAGACATAGGAAAGAGAGGAAACAACTCCGGGGCCTGGGGCCTTAGAGAGACTGTCTCTACCTCGCTTTTCGGAAAAGGCAGCAGAGACCCAGCTTCACTTGCGGGGTGGGGGGGGCGGGGGTACGACTCTTAGATGCTCGGTGTTAGTCGTTTAAAAGTCTCTTTAGGTTGGCCTTGGGTGTACCCTGAATAGCTCTGATAGGTCCGAAACAGCAGACGGTCTTAAAGCCTTTAGCAGCAACTTAATGCAGACAAGTAAGTCAAAAGCTAAGGGGTGGTGGTGGTGGTGGTGTCTTCAGGCAAGATGAACTTTAGCCTTTCCCCCGCGGAAGATTTCTTCATACGGAGTGGTTTGCGTTTCTTTTTAGTTTTTAATTGTACATTATTGATGACCTTTTTAAGTGCAAGTGTTGCAGAAAACATTTCCCCAGGGTTCCCCAAACGCAACTTACTGTATTTGAAATGCATGAAATGTGTGAGTGACTTCTGGGTGCTACTTTTCTCTGCTGTGTTTTTTTTTTAAGAGTTGAGATGTTTAAAGTCTTTTATTTCCTGAAATTAAAAAATCCAGAACAAGTGTCATTTGGTCCTCCGAACCTCTTATACTCGAGTTTCGCCTTGAGCTGGATGCGGAAGTGTTGCAGGCAAAGAAGTGTTGGTGTCTTTTAAATCCAAAACCAGTGATCCAGCAGCAACACCATTTGGAAGACTGGAGCGAAAGGCTGAGAATGAGCCCTCTAAAATAAAACTGACTTTTTCCTTTTCTTTTTTTAGCCTGCAAGGGCACCTGTGCCAGGCGCTTCCTCCCAGGGAAGGAGCGGCCTGTGCCTGTTGCACCCTGTCCCCACTCCAGGCATTTCTTAACACAGTTTCTCCAGGATGATTTTTTTTTTCTTTGCCCTTTTGAGTTAGGAATCCCTGCCTCCTGCGGCTGTGGGCTGTTGGGGCACGGCGGGTGTTCAGGGCTGTGAGGCCCAGGCGGCTTCGCCCCGCAGGGGTCGCCCGCGGGGCAGCGCCCGTCTTGCTAGCCTGGGGCCCCTGTGACAGAACAGCTGGCCGAGGTCGAGCGCGAAGTTTTCAGAGTAGTGGTGATTTAAGTTGTTCGATTTTTAAAAAATTCGCCCCACCCCAAAATGGAGAGAAGAAAAAGAGAGAAAGGAATGAAATAAGAAGTAAAGTGGAATCATGGAAAGAGAAAGAAAGAAAGAAAGAAAGAAAGAAAGAAAGAAAGAAAGAAAGAAAGAAAGAAAGAAAGAAAGAAAGAGTAAAGACGAAAGAGATGAGAAAAGGAAAGGAGTGGGGAGAAAGTAGAAAGAGAAGGAAAGAAAAGTAAAGGTGGTCACGAAAGGAGTAGGTATGTGAAAGGAAGAAAGAAATAAAGGGCTGGTTGAGGAAGGAAGGAAGGAAGGAAGGTAGGTAAAGGGCGGACTGGGGCACATGAGAGAAGAAGAAGAAAGAAAAAGGAAGTATGGAAAGTGTGCTAGAAAGGGGAGCTGAGTCCGATGGTAGGGGGCACAGAGGCAGCCGAGCAGGCCGGCTCCCAACAGCTGCGAGGCTGGGGGAAAAATGGTCGGGCGAGCGCGCTGACCACTCTTCCTTGCCCGCAGGCTCTCCCAAGGGCAGCAGCGCCCCGTTCGAGGCTGAGCTGCACCTGCCACCCAAACTGCGGCGCCTGTACGGTCCCGGTGGGGG